TGTCTCCCAAAGGGCCGAAAGATACATGAGCTAAGAATATATTGATGATAGATGAAATCTTGATAATATGAAATTAAATTTATAAAGCAAAAATTGTAAACGCTTACATCCTAAAAACTCGGCAGAATCTATAAAGTTTTGAATAAGAAAAATAGCTAACTAAATGGACGATACGATTCACTATCGGAAAGTTATAATATTGGATGCTTCAAACCTTGATCGATCTCTAAGGGATACAGTCCAGGAATATACTTTTCTGCACGATCAAGAATTTCAATCACATCTTGAACCTTTTTAAACATTGAAGAGTTGATAATATACGATTCAAGGAAAATCATCTAACCAATATGCTCGAGAAAATGGACGGCAGTTTTATGATATTAGCTTACTTTAAAAAAGAACTGGCTATCGCCAGTCAGTTGCGATAGCTTCATAAATTCCAACTGCATAGTTCCAATTTGAGCTAATATTCCCGTCCTACTACCACAATGTCTTGTTGATACGCAGGGAGGCCCAGAACGCTCATGACTTTTTTTATTTATGCCCCTACAGTCAATAAAGTTAGCATTCGCTACATGATATATATAAACAAAATTTCCTTATTAACAAATAAGCAAACCATGTGAGATTCCACGAGTTATACGGCAATCCAGTGGGACTATCAAAGGAAGGTAACAAAGCATTGCCTAATTCTTGTGCTTTTTCCAGAAATACGAGATCATTTGATAATTCATACGCACTTAATAACCCACCTAGATAACGAATTGTGGTTTCAAACACGTTGATGTCGTCATCACTTCTTGTAAAGTCCACAGAGCGAACAAAATCCCTTGAGCGATTAAATTCCTCCTTTAAATCCATAATCCACATTGTGTCTAATGCATCAATTATAGTTGCTCCCCACCCGTTAAAATTATTCCTACCCACATTTGTTAACGGCAACAATTCATCATATCCCCATGCATACCTCGTATATCCATTCCAAGCATGGAGAAATCCGTTTTTTACGGAATCACGGCGGGATTCCCTTAATTGTTCTTCTTCAGCCGTTTCATTTAATAGAAAATCATACTGTATTTTCGGAAGACGAATAATATTACTTAAATACACTCTTGAACCTAAACTGTATAAAAATCTGGATGGTGATGTTTTGAACCATTGTGAATGCTTAAAAACAGCCGGATGATTATAACCAATTTCTATAATGTAATACGCCAATGATCCAAAGACTAACAAATTTAGAAGTACAAGTTGAAAGCGAATATCTAATCTCCGTAATATTTTTTTGATAAAACCTATTCGCATCATTTATTAACGTTAATTGAATGCAATTAAGAAAAGAACTGTAAATTCTACAACCAGATAGTTTTAAAAAGGATTGATTTTCGAAATGTTTGTACGCCACTAAATTCCAATCATGTTTCATTGTACTATTACTTTATTTCTGTATTTGGTAAAAAAATTGTGTACATACGCACGTACGTACGTACGACATTCAAGAAGCAGCAACAATTATGATTTGCCCTCTTTCTGCAAATATCCGATTGAATGATACCAGATACGTACATCGTTATTGATTTATCATGTGAGCTGCAATGCATCAGAAAAAACTGGATGAAATCGCAATTGCAGATTATTTCCGATTATCACCATGCCATGCTTAATTAAAACTTTAAAACGATAATGCGTAGATGGGATGGTTGATATTTAAAGATAATGGTAGCCTTAATCCATTTGTACTATTCACATATTTGGCTAGAGATTTCATTGGTTTTATAGCGACAGCATATTGATACACAGTCAGTCTGAAAATACTGCTTAATGCAAGATGAACTTCAGGAGCTCAAATGTACTTCAGGTAGCTCCATGCAGGGGCAGCTTCTGATACTGTACTAACCCATTTTACTAATACAGTTATTAACGTTAACGTTAACATAAATACAATTATTTATATGTATGTATGGTAAATTATGCAATTATGAGATCATTGAATTTTTGAAGTTATCTGGTATATTGAAAATCGCTATTTATTATGAAAACCAATCTAAAAGTCTTAACATTAAGCAAAAAAAAAAATGTTAACGTAGCATTTAATTTTGTATATAAAATATAAGTTTTTATAATAGCTAGGCCAAAAAAATAGTGTGATTATAACAAGGTTGTGACTATATTGAGAGTGCTATAACGAGGTCTGACTGTATATTGCATAAATTATACGTATAATTGTATATATAATTGTTATCTCTATAATATTGTTTTAAAAACTATATTTAAAACTAATATTTAATGAGTTTACTAATAATTTTTTTAATTAAATTATTTTATTTTAGAGAGCCAAGAATTAACTTTGTACGACCTAACTTTATAATTAAAATTTTAAAAGAGGTTTCCATAACCATTAGTGTATATTGACCTCTATAGATAGTTACAATCTTTTATAATTACCAAAATGTTGTTTCCCAACCTGATTATATCGAGGTCTGACTGTACTTTGTTATAAATAGATTCTATTTTAAAGTAATTTAAATTCCAAACCAATATATGTATAATTTTTTTGTAAGTCAAGTTAGAATTTTTTTAACAACTTAAACATATTATACAAGAATAAAAATTCAAATATTTTGTTTCTAAAAAAATCAAATTCTAAATTTGCTATTTAAAGTAATAATCTACTTTTATATACTAACCAATATGTTATATCACCACAATTTTATTTTATATACTTTTATAAAAATTATATTCTTATTAATATAGTTCTTTAAAAAATTAATTAAAATAAAAATTTTTTTTTTATTCACAGTTTTCTTTTGTTGTGAAAATCCTATATGCTGTAAAAAAATTATTAAAATAAATTTAGTAAATTACAAGATATTAGTGTTTTATTTCTTGTAACTACTGTATATACTATATATATATATATCAAAAAAAGAGATTTTAAATTATATAAAAATATACAATATAATATTTAATTCAAAACTTTGATAAAAATTATTTTTATCAAAAAATCATTATAAATAGAAAGTGGTATAAATATTATTTTTCTTTATTTTATTATTTTTTCTTTATTTTTAAATGCAGTCAAATCTCGATATAATCACCAGCTTGGGAAACAAGAATCTGGTGACTTTAAAAAGTTGTAACTACGTAATTCTTAATTATTACATTAAATATTGTATATAGATTTTCACAAATGCAATTTTTCTCTAAATGCAAGCCTTTGTGTGATAAATAGTATACCTTGTTGAAAAATAATCAGCTGATTACCATTACCAAGCTTTTCACTCTTAATTTGTACCGAATTTTTTTTAGCCTCATTTCTATCTCTCTTAACTTGTGACAATGTTTTTGCTATCATAACCTAGACCCTATGAATTACATTTAGAGATGTTTGACTATATAATATAACTTACTTTAATCATTAATCTAACTCTAAAAATCCATTTGCCACCGTTTTAAAGCATGTGATATCTATAGTATGCTGAAGTCTAAACCTAGGGATAGTAAAAAATCGATTTTAAATGTTTTTTATAATTTTTACCATGTTTTAATAAAATGTTTAAATCATTGTTGATATAGCGCTGATGGCTGTAGTTATAATTACTGTAACTGATTAGTTAGGTTTGACTTCCGAATTTTGCTAACACTTTATTTGCATCATTATTATCAAATAAATCTTCATTAAAATCTTCCGAATCTGAGTCAAAAGAATTATTTTGTATTTTGGCGCATAATGAATCTTTCATATGCTTTGGAAGTGTTTTACACTTAATAAAATGACTTTTCAGTTGATCAACCAAGTCTATAATACTATCTCCGCCAGTATTGGACGATGATGTCATGTAAATGACATGACTTATATGATTTGTCATATTACACTATCATATGAAGTATCATATATTAATAATATGACATTATATATGTTTCATATGTTTCTATATCATATGAAAATATCACATGACATTATGATATTGTTACCGTCCAACACTGGTTTACACTTTTGACGAGCAGTTTTTCGATGATACGTAGCCAAATGATTAATTCGAAAACTTTACTTTATTTACAAATAAGGTTAAAAGTGTTTCTTTATTTGGAATAATATTATATGAAAAAGAAATTTTTTCTTTTCTTACATTCTTATTTATATGTTCGCACTATCTAATTATTACTACATTGTTAATAATCAATTTCGCTTGCATTACGTATTACATTCACGCTACTTAATTACTACTACATTATTAATAAATTAATTTCACTTGCATTATCTAATTATTACCAAATTATTACTAAACATTGTTAACAATTAATTTTGCTTCCATTATCTAATTGCCCGGAGCGTAGCGGAGGACTTTATATGTTTACGTAAGGTGATACAAAAGTTCTATTTTTGATGCATCAATAATAGTAATATCAAAGATGTAACTATAATAGTATACATCACATTGTTTTGAAATTAGATTTTAGTCATTACTGCGCTTTGGACACACAATGCTGCGCATTAACCTAGTTACTACATTGATTATTACATTCGCACTACTTCATTATTATATATATACTAACATATTACTCTGATATTAATTGACACATGTGACGATAATTAGTATATCAATATTAGTAACGATGATTTAAATCATAAAAAAATCAATTTAAAGTGATATATATCTAAACCGTTTAAAGCATGATCTGGATATGTTGAAGTCCAAGTTTAATGTACAGTACGTACTCTGAATAATAATCTCGGTAAAAAATCCATAATATCAATCTTTAAATTTTTAAACCAAAATGATTTGTCTATTTGTTTTGTATTTTATTTCATTTACTTTTTTTTTTTAATATTTAGCTTTCATAATCTGCTTTATACTAAAGAAGCATTATAAAAAAGGTTGTAAATTTATCTATTTAAATAATTTTTTTTTTTTAAACGAAATTATGCAAATTTTTGTCAAACAATATATTTTTTTTTTGAGTTCTAAGACTTAAAAAATAATTTAAATTATGATTTTCTATTTACGATCTTCAATTTCTATTATTTGTGTATCAACCTCCAAATCATGAACTTTCAATTGGCAAAAAAGCCCAAATTGTCCCAAAGGCTGATAAAACCGAACAAATTAAGATTATTACCCAATTCAACAACCACTCTCTCCAACTTAATTGATGCCCAAATAATTTCAAATGACAAACGCAGGGAAAAATGGCGGAGATCATGAACGAAAAAAAACTTCCTAATACACCCATAACCCTTTCAAACTCAGGAAATTTGATTGCAACTAATACAACTATTGTTGATACTAGCATACGCGTGAGAACGCGCAATCCTGTTCGACGACCACGGCCCGAGTTAAACCAATTCTCTACCCGAGGAATAGAATGATAATATATTTCTATAGTTAAATTTATGGGGTTTAATGTGAGTGCATATTTTGCAATCGGGTTTACTGCCACAAGCCATATTACGATTTCATTAAGAATTTTCCAATAGCCAGGAGTTATCATTATGTTCTGTGTGATCTGTTCATTGCATCATACATTTTAATTAGTATATAAAGTTGGTGCCTAAAACAAGTCATTTATATAAAATAAGTGACCTAAACAGAAACTTACCTCTTGTTTTGTTTCATTGCCAAACATCAAATAACCGCATGCGGCCATAAGAAAGTAGACAATTGTGGTCAACTCATAAGTTATGTTTACCATTTTTGGAAATTGATGGGGTTTTTGCATATCACGATATACGGTCGGAAAGACAGCATGACCTAAATTAATTATTATTTTGTATTAGAAACCTATTATAATAATGATAAAAGAAATAGATCAAATTTACCTGTAAATCCTGCCATAATCAGTCCAAAGCTAATAGGCAATGTTCCCCAAGATGGTGGCCATAAATTTGTTTGCATGGGGTCGAATAAACTCCCGGGATGTTCATGTTTCGTAAATCCATCAGCAATCATAACTGTTACCAAAGTTGTCGCAGATAATATTCCAAGTAATGAAAAATATGAGAGATAACGTATTGCGATCAAAGTTAATGGTGTCATTACCATCCATGCAATGACTTTTAGGGTAACAAGAGATGTATCTGGAAATAATTCGTGTAGAGAATCTCCAACAAGAATTACTAATGCCGTGGCTGATGCTATTAATTCAAGCGAAAATAGTGTTGATATGACAAGTCGTGTACGTTCTCCGAACGCAATCGCACCTATAATGATAAGAACATAAGAGTATTAATCACGTGAAATAATGATTGTTTACAATATATAAAAAGTAAATTACCCATATCAGCGTAAGTGCAAAGTCTCACATCATATTCCAAACATTTTGCTAATACTTTAGCAGTATAATTTGTGACTGCCAAACAGAAAAAGAATAGCGATGTCCCGATCACCCACCCCGCATGTCTGAATCCAAAAGGCAATGCAAGAATTCCAATACCTGTTTGTCGATCATCAGGTTAGTGTCAAGAAAACATGATTTACTGCATGTCTAACAGTCACCTACCGATTAAGATATTACAAGAGTTAAAGACCGATTGTCGAAATGTTGATCCAATTATAGGAATGTCTTTTACGGGTATCGATATGGGCACAGGATGACTTCTATTATCAGATATAAAAATAAATTACATCTTTCTAAAAAATGTGATCGTAAAAATTACCAAAGTAGAATATGAAACGTACTTTG